TAGAGGAAGCAAAGAAACAATTAAAATTACAAAATCAAAAAATTGCTTCGCTACAAGGTGAACTAGAAAATGTGAATGCTCAAAACATGCGTTTACGAGGTAATTAATGTTCGTGTGAAATTTATCTAAGAATCTGATTGCAGAAAGGAAAGTAGTTCTGTTCACTAATAGTATTTGTTTCATCATTCAAATTTTCATGCAAGATTTATCTTCAGAGAGCAATCAAATTGCTGAGCAGCTGGAACAAGAACGAAAAATGCTGTTACATAAGAATGAGCATTTTGAAAAGGAAGTGGAAAAACTGCAACTAGAAATTGTAACTATGCAAAGAACTGCATGTGAGGAATCAGCGAAAGCCTCAGGCAAGTGTAATTGAGAAATTTGAAAATTGAAATTACCAAATGATTTTTGTTGTACTTGTTTATTTGATTCATTTTATATGATGTTGCAGCTAAAGTGGAATCAGAACGACACCGGCTGCTGCGTGATCTGCAAAAAGAAATCAAGCAGTTATATCATGATTTAAACGAACGCACACAACAGCTGAGTGAGACACAATCCAAACTGCAAGTATGATTGTCGAGGATTCTTGAATTAATTTATATGTTATGATCTCTTTCTCTTTATTATATACATAACTATATTTCCAAAAATTATTAATCAATATCTGAAGAGAAGTAATCTAGTTTATTGAATTGCTGTATCAAAATTTCATGAATGAAGTGGCATGTCCAAGACACTGTTCTGAAAATTCTTCAGGAACTGTCAGCCAAAAAAACTGAAAGTGATGAGATTGAAAATGCGGAAACTAGTCACAGGACATGTGCGCACAGCGAACGTTTAAGGACCAGTTCAGATTTAACTGAGCAGGCAGTATGCTTATTGTTTGTTTAACTAATCCAGATTTTCATATTGATAAGTTGATCGGTTTCATTGTTAAGTTTCATTTTTTAATTTGTGTTAGGTTGATTCAGTTACCACTGAATTTTTCCTTCACCAGTTTATGAACTTTTCTTCGTTAATCAGTTGCATTATTAACTTCATATTTCGATTACAAAATCACAGTTTTAAGATCTGCGGCTTAAGTGTCGTACTCTGAATTAATTTTTGTAAGAATACTTTTGTATTATTCGTGATAAAATCGATAATGACCATTAATTTATAGGATTATGAAGAATTATATGCTCTGCGGGAGCAAGTGGCAGAATATCAGAAGGAATTAGAAAATGTTAAAGAAGCGCATAAGTGGGCATTTGATTATTTTTACTGACTTAGGAATATCATCAAGGAATAAACTTACACAGTTTGCTTTAATAATACTTTATTTTCATTGCAGAAAGGAATTAACGCTGCTGTGTAAGAAGACGCACTCTACTGAACAGTTCAACGTTATTGGTTTGGAATCAATCACGAATGGATCTATTTTGGTATATTTATTAATGATTGGTTCAGAATTTTTGTTTGCTTAATTTTAGTACTCTTGAAATATCTCGTCCACATAGCTATATTTCCTCTTTTGTTACTATAGTACTTTTTATTTGAAATCAGAAAATATGCGTCATTATTTATAGAGAGATAAAGAGGATCTGAACAGTGTTGTCTTCGTAGAGCCTACTGAAGCTGAAGTTAGTTTATTTTTTATTAAATTATGAAATAAATTTCTGAGCTGAATGAGTTTCAGCTAGCTGATGCTGTTGCTCAGGTCATTTTTTTGCCACTGTATTAATATGGCATGACTTTCCTTCATCTAAATCCAGTCGTCATTTAGAAGATGAAGCAGTTCCGTGTATCATAATTTATTATTAGTGCTTGCTTATTTTGCATACAATTTGAAATGAAATATATTTCAGTATTTGAGAAATGTGTTGTATCGATACATGAATGAACGAGAAACATTGGGCAAGGAGAGTGTTGTGAGTTTTTTCTATGTTCCATTGAAGAAAATTCCTTTGGAATTCAAGGCGAGATAAAACTCTCATATTGCTTATATTGTATATTTTTGTTATAAGCAGAAATGTAGTATAACATTTGTGGGATGCTGTTTTGTCTACAATGCATGACGCGTACGAAACGCCAGAATCGAACTAGTGCTATGCAATGTTTGTAGAAGTATCCGACTTTGGATGTAAAATTTATGATTTTAATAGCAGTATCTCTTTGCAAATGAATTCAAACTTTGAACTAGTTAGACTATTTGGATTATATTTCATACTTTTCTTGAGTCGCTTGTACTATTAATTTATTTGGAATTATTTGTTGTAGACATTGGCTCGAGTGATTGCTACCGTAGCGAGGTTTACACATGAACAAGTGAATACAGTGGTGGCAAAAGAGGAGCAAAGGAATCATGGTTGGGTCGGAGGTACCGTACAAGGCTTTATCTCTTCTGCTGCGAATCTATCTTCTCACTAAAACTTATTTCATTTGTGATTTTTATTTTACTCGACAGTGCCGTTCCCATTGTCAGTGGAATTGTGCTTCAGTTACAAAATCCACTCTTCAGTGGATCTAACCGTTTGGTCTATCAACAAGTTTTTTTTTTTTTTTTTTTCTTTTTTCATTTTCCTTATTTCACCTATTAAAATATGGTGAAACGTAGGATGAGATGGTGAAAGTCACTTGTTATTGGAAATTGAGGTTACATTGCCATTAATGGTAATTTTCTTTTGGATGACTGTGATTCTTTCTTGATTTCTTAAATTTTACGACTAGATTCTGTGATATGTTCCGCTTTCATTGCGTTAATATATATTTTGGCCCATTTGATTATTCATACCCAATTTTCTTGGTTTAACTACATCCTTGTTTGCTAAGTTGTGAAGTTTTCCTTCACTTTCATTATAGTTCATGAGCTGAAACAAAAAACATTGAGGTTATTTCTGGAACCCACATATCATTTTTCCATATATTTTCTGATGCCTCCTTTTCGTTAATAATTTCTATCTTAAGCCATTCCACAACTCCTTTGTTAGTGCGTTAGCATAGATGCCATCACGTTCTTTCATATTATGAGGTGAACAAGTCTCTTTGTAGTACTTTTCATATTTCAAGCTTTCAGTGTTATCCATCTTCCGGATTATCATTTTCTTAATTTTTATCAATGGTTAAGCAAGATTTTTTCATTTTTCCAAAATATATTTGTCCAAGGTAATACCTAATTATTTGTAATATTCTTTTAAAATCATTGCGAATTTAAACCATGATTTTTTGAAGGGTTATTTTTATTTCATGTCATGACTACTTTTGCCGTTTATTTTTATTTTGGATTTCTTTTTGCGTACCATTTATGACTGTATTCATGCTATTATCATGTCACTGTGATGAACTTATTGTCCATATAGCTATGATATATTTTTAAGCCCAATGTTCGTTCCTAATTTTTTAGTAGGTTTTTGATTAAATTTTAAGTAGTTCTAAAAGTAAGGAGCTCAAAAAATGAATTTGTTTGTTTATTGTTAGTAAAAAAAAAATTTCACATGTGTATTTTCCGGAGGTGTTTTTGAAATAATTTTGGACCTTAATTAACTTCATGTTTCCCATCAATGGTTACGATGGTAGGATACTTGTCGAAGTGCTAGGTCGGAAGTAGAGGAATGCAAGACATAGAGGAATGCGGAATTGATTTCATGTTTGCGAAAATATTCATTTATTTTTGTTGACAATAGAAGGATGTCAGTACCACGTAGTATATATACATCGATCCTTCTATTATGTATTCTTTAAATCTAAAACAACTGTGATGGCAGTAATGAAATTATTTGCTGTTATATGTTACTAAAATACTCTTAAGAAATGCAAATATTTTGATTGAGCTAAGAAAGAATCACTTCCTCGTTGGTTTTCCTAATTTATGCTTTTCTGTCTCTGGGATGTTGTACAGTCAATAGCTTTTTAATGTTTTGATATCCTGTTTGAACGTAATTGAGCTGAGCACCGCTCACTTCTGTAGAACCTTTTCATCTTAAAAATGTCTGAATTTTTTTCTTGTCCTGCGTAAAGGTCTAGTATTTTTCTTTAGTGAGTCGTCGATTGCGTTACTATCTCGTGCGTGCGCCGTGAGCACAAAACTGGAGAATATATGTATGATAAATGAACTTTTATTAACATTGGACGAGGTCACTGTATTATTTAGAGAGGTCACTGTATTATTATATGGTTGTTGAGCGTTCCAGTCCAATGTTAGATAGCTTGAAAAGTATATTTGAAGCTGTGTGATGTTCTAGATTTCTCGTAGGGATCTTTCGGGAATTGTTTTATTCTTTTCAGTGGTCGTGATATCTATGCTTATCAAGCATTATATTTTTCAACATATAATTTCATAGTATATTGTCCTCACCACTATTGTTGACATGAGGTCTAATCATCTGTCACGTGCACTTACAGTACTGTAATCGTCGTAGAACAATAAGTGCATGCATTAAACTGATAACAGAAGTTAGATATGCTATACTGTCACTTTGTTCGAAAGAGTGAAACAAGATGAAGTTTAGATTTCTTTCAATAAAATTGCTTTGGAATTTGTATTCTCAGTGTTTGGTGTAGCAACTGCGTGTTGTCTGCAGCGTTTGTAACTGCAGCTGATATTGCTACTCATTTATGTAATTAATTTTTGAATGGTCAAGCCATTGTAAAGTTTGATGACAATAGTGATTTGTTCATTATCTGATTAAATCAAACAAGAAATTGTGGTTTCTCTTCAAGATTTATCAATTAAACAAATTTCTTTTTTTTTTTTGTGTGTGTTGTGTTTCTATTATTATAATTATGTCTCCAAAGAGATACAGTGGTAGATTAGGTTTAAGAGTATTGAAATGCCAAATCCTTGATAGTTCATGAGTTGAAGCTGTTGTGCATTACTAACTCACTGGCTGATATTGTACTTTACATGAACTTTAGAGAAATGTGTTTGTCATGATGGCATATGTTTAGTATGGACGGTCGAACCATATCAAATTTAGTTTTATTTGAACTTCAGTGAACCTGTACTACTGATGAGTAAGATGAGAAGAAATGTTAGTGACGCCAAGGAAGGTGCAGAGTGTGTTGAACTGTCATCGGGACATTGCTTATACTATGTTGATCAAGCTACACTAGACAAAAATGTGAAGGAACGAGGGTATCAAGATGATGCATCGTTAGGACAGGTCACACATTCTGATCGTACCATTGGTGTCTATGAAGGTATGTTGCGACTCTGATTTTTCACGAATTATTTTTCGTGCGTTATGAAAGTTTTTTAGATTATATGCCACTAGGGAATTGGAAAACTACTTTTTATTCCTAGCTTTCAATCAAATTACCGGATAGGTCGCACAGAGGCTAGAAAAAAAAAATTTGTGTTTGCAGGTGGATTCAAAGTATGGGAAGGTGCTATTGACTTATGCGAATACATTGATAAAGTTCTGGAACCACAAATTTTGAGGGACAAAAAGATTCTTGAGGTAGCTTATCAATTGGAAATATTTTCCCCATGATTTTATTACTTCATACTTTTTATAATTCATATAACATTTATTATCAATACAGAATTTTAGGTTGGTTGCGGTGCGGGATTACCATCAATTCTGGCATTACAAAAGGGTGCTAAAGAAGTCGTTTTGCAGGATTATGTAAGTTTTGCTAAATTAATAGGGTATCACAAATAAATAACTTCCTGGTACATAACAGTATTTGATTTCTATAGAATGACGTTGTTGTCAGTTGTTTTACAAAGGATAATTTTACGATCAATAATGTTAACCTGGAGAATTGCCGATTTTATGGTTGTGACTGGGCCACGCTACAGCAGAAAATAGATGGTCAGAAGTAAGCGAGATTTTTTTTTATCTTAGAGTTATTAACATTTGTACTGAAAAAATAAAAGCAAGTGATATATAGCTTATTAATTTATTTAGCTTTAAGCATCTTCAATATTTGCCCCTCTTTGGACTAATAATCAGTACTTGATATAGTGCTTCTTGATTTGTGAAAGCTAACTATTATAAGTTCCAGATGTAGTAAAGTAATTCATTCGGATTCAAAGAAAGTGGAACAACAATAATTCCGTTGAAATTAAATTCCGAGGTCTCACATTTTAATCACAACTCTGTGCAGATGTTTTTCCCTACTAGACTTTGAATGTTTCGATAGATGTGCAATGCAGTCTCTGCAGTATATTATAGGTGTAGATACAAAGCAGTGGTCGTATTAGGTAGTCTGTGCTGACTTATTGGAAATGTGATAAATGTGAAACTTCGGAGTTTAATAACAGTAAAATTACTATTCTCTTACTTTCTCTGAATCCAAATGAACTATTTTATTACATCTGGAGGTTATAATAGTTCGCTTCCAGCAAATCAAGAAGTACTATATCAATAATTTCTTAATAAAGATAGGAATTAGTAACTTTACAACAATGTTTAGTTTCTGATCAATAATCGATTAGGGTGTTAATTTAATGTTTGGAAAATATAAATAGGACTTATAAGAATAACAGCCGTTCTAGTGTTAGTGCAAAACAGTCAAAATGCTTAGACCTGTGGAGGAAAAAGTTCAAGGAAAGTTTTAGTGCAAGAGATTTCCAACATAGTTGATTTGCTAGATAGCTGCTTACTTGGATCATTGATTGCACCTTTGCAACTATTTCTAATTATCATCAGCATTACCTTTTGATTCATTTCCTGGGAAAATAATGTGCATAGTACGGATTTTTTGAGACAAAGAATAGTGTATCGTAAAAACCACTCCCCTCCACTTTTTTCAAAATGATCCATCAGCTTATTCGAATATGTGAGAAAGCTGAAAAAGTAAAGCTATAATTTTCTTGTCTTACTGATTTATTATGTTTTTTGCCTAATCATATTTTAGGTTTGAAGTTGTTTTAACATCTGAAACGATCTACAACGAAGAACATTATGAGATTTTGCACAAATTGTTTGATGTTGTTCTTCCAGCCGATGGATTAATGTAAGTGACTTACTTAAAAATTCATACTTTTTCAGCTACCAATTTTTCAACCAATTTTCAGTTATACGGAATCCAAGGCTACAGAACTTTTATTCCCAATCTTCGATTCTTTTTATGTTGTCAAAAAATGAAGTGGAAGAGCTTTTCATTGGATTAATAGTTCTCCTACATCGTCCTAATATTTCGGGTCAATATTTTCTAGCATTTCTCTAATACTCTTCTTGTACTTTCTAGTATGATCCTATTTTTATTTACTCCTTTTTTTTTAATGTAAATTTATGTAATTACAAACTTCAGTTTGTTAGCTGCAAAAATGTTTTACTTCGGTGTTGGTGGCAACATACCAAGCTTTCTGGAATATGTGAAAACACGTGGCATATTCGATACATACATATGTTGGAGTAGCGAAAGCGATGTTCCACGGAAAATTATACAGTTGACTCGAAAATTTTGCTCCTAATTGGAAATATTTATGTCCATAATCTTGTAAAGGGGCATTTTTATCACCCAAATGTATTTTTCCTCTGGTCTTCATGTTTTAAAATGCTAAAATGTTTTCATATATTGTTTTATCAAGTTACTTTACCATCCTTTTCCCAATCATTTAATTATGCCAACTTGTCAGCAAAATATATGCTTATTTTCACGTTTAATCTTTTCCAATTTCATAAATTGCTGCTTTTTGGCTTACAATGTTCTATCTGGTACTGATGAATTATCCAGAAATCTTTTGTGTTGTCTAGCAAGTGCGACGCAACGCTTTTCATGTGAGATATAATCGATGAAAAAGCAGTTAGTAAGTTGTCAAAAATAAGTGATCCAACAGCTGTGCAGTTATTCTCTTTACATTATTTTCTCTGTTAATCTTCCATTTGTCATTGTTTCATGGTGGAAATTGATATAATAACAGCATATTGAAGTCATTTCAAGAAGAACCATATATAGTGACAAATTTCGATATACGTTATACTAACTTTAAATCAGATGGATGATGTAGTTTTGTTGGCCGAACCTTGTTACGCTCTTCCCTAAATCTGTAATTCTTAATCCGACGCAGAATTCCAGAATTTTGTGAACCACTGATGCTTTGTTTCCTATATTTGAATGGGTGTTGAAGAAAAGTTCCTTTAATTCACTTGAACAGATTTGATTCACACAAAATATATTGGAAACCCTTGTTAATGATTACTCTCATCATTCTACTAAATAATAGATGTGGCTAATTGTTCCGTGCTCCCATAAGAATGATGTTCTTATACATTTGTTTAAACAATTCTAGATAATTTAATTTATGGTTAAATATTTCTGAAATTCTTTCAAAAATAAAACCTATAACTTTATAGTACATGTTTCTCTGTAGTCATGTCAGTGATTAATATTTTCATCCGATTATTCACTCAATTGAGCAATTGCTGATTTTTAAAGGATTTTCTCCCGGTATTTTTGCTGCCTCGTTCCATTGTTGGTGGGAGTTTAATAAAAATTGGTTGGGAAAAGAATAAACTATAGTATAATCAAAATTCGGGAGAGAATACATTAAGGATCAAATTTCAGTGAATTAAGTGATAAGAAAGATGGAAGTTGTTCTAAGACATCAGTTTGGCTTGCTTTCGACTAGATGTCAGGTGTTTATGTAATGCTAGGTTGTAGGTTCGTTAGTTTTATGGAATGTTAGCTGGATCTACTTTCCTATTCTGTCATTTTAAAATCTCATCATTAAATCTCTTTACGCCCTGGCGTATACCGCTTCGTTCTGAACTTAATTAAGACAAGTGTGATGCTGAAGTTTAAAGTTCAACACAAATTTTATAAATAAACGGCGGTAACACACGGCATCAGTTTGTGCACAAAAATTTCCGATTGCACTCAAATGCAAGTGAATAAAACTATTCGTAATCCACAACAATAAATGTGTTAATAGTCTGCTACGGTTGCATTGTTATCACTCGATATCACTGATATAAATGAACTAAATGTTTTGTTACTTTTGTAGGCTGTATCTTGTTCAGTAATATTATTTATTGCTTTATCTCCATATGAATACAGTTTATCGTTGTTCAACAGTTGAACAGTTCCACTATTTTAAGCCTTTTTTCTTCATAGGGATCTGATATATCTCAGCACATTTCTAAAGAGATTTTGTAATCATGTGCAAAGTTGCTGTATAATGAATAATAATTATTTTCAAACCATTTTACGCATCAATCTCAATCTGCTTAAGACACCATATAAAGAGCAGACGTGATACGTGAAGATATACCAAAGACATGTAAAGATACAGTTTGATATTTACGACACAACACGACGTAAATTGAGCAGAGATGGAGTTATCAGCAGTGCCAATAGAGTGAGATTCAAGATGACTAGAACCCCCTTCACAATAGGTCACGCATTTCATTTACTTTATCTTGGCATTACGGTTGGATAGCGCCTTCTGATATCCAGTGTTTCCTTCTTTATCCTTTCCGTTTCAGCAGTTCTATCATGTGATTGAAGAAACCGTCCTCTTACGCTGCTCTCTTCAGAAACACTTAGTGAGATGAATCAATATGACGGAAGTGCTCACATTAAAGACTTATCACAAAAGTCCGTTTTACTGTTTTTTATGGGCAGCTGTTGTTTACATAATGCCTGTTGAGAGTGCATTTCCTCAAATTATCATATCAGTGATTTCATAGTATGTAACCGAAAGGAACAAGTGAGCGTATGTATTCAGATTCGAAGAATCCCTCTACACATCGGCAAGTAGCACATTTCCATTTCTTTCCTCTCATAAAAGGGTACCGTATTTTTTTTCAATGTTTCTAAAAATACGCTTTAATATGGTTGCTATTATGTTTGATATTAGATGCGAGTATGAAGGTATAATGAGGGAACTAAAATTTTGAATTTCTGTTTGTGAATTTATTTTCTGGTATTATTTACTCTTCTTTTTAGTATTATTTAGAATAAGGGATAGAATTTCAGAAGTTTTGAGTAGAAGACTTATGTAATTTCATGTAATGATTTCCTAATTTGTATAAGTTTATTTATAACATCAAGATAATGCCGAAATGAATAAATTAAACATGTGGAAAAGACTATACACGTTCATTCTTTTGTGAAAATTTTCAGTTGGAAATGTTACTCATTGTTCCTCTTTTGCTAATATTTGAATTCGAATTTGGAAGAGTGGTACACAGCGATGAAAATTTTCATTTGGATAAATTCCTGTGGTATTTTCAATCTGCAAATGGCTCTATCCGAGGATTAGCTCGAGTGCCAGGAGATATCTACCAAGATTTACTCTTTGCAGATTATATTTCTGATCCGCTGTTAGGAGAGAACGATAGTTTGTTACGATGGATTCCACGGACAAATTGGATTTATTACACCACATTTACTATTCCTAAAAGTTGGAGCACGGTAAGTTTTTCCTAAGCCAGAAAAATTTTTGTGCCATTTTATATATATATATAATATACAATATAAAAATATAAATTTTATACAAATTTATATGAACAAAATGATAGCATTTCATGTCATGAGGATCACTTTACCAAAGATCTTCATGATGATTAACATAAATTCACTTCAAGTTGCACCAGTGTTGTTCAAGGTTATTTCAAATAATTTTACTGTACAGTAAGGTAAAATAAGGTAAAAATGAACCAGTAGAATGACAACTCTTTGTTAGCTTTTCCATCACCATTTTAGATTGAGCAAAATATAAAAATAAACGATAAAGCGAATAACGCAATAACAATTGGACAAAATCGCAATTATGATTGAAATAGTCCAGATTTCATTTCAGCATAAATAATTAAAATTTTTGTCAACATTGGATAAAATTTAATCAAAATTGAAGGTGAAAGCAATGTTATTGAATGCTGGTGGATTGGATACCGTGGCCGATGTATTTTTCAATGATGACTTAGTTCTCAAAACATACAATCAGTTCGTTTCCCATTTGATACCTTTAAAACAATGGAGAATTGGAAAAAACTATCTGCGGATCGAGTTTAAGTCGCCTATTATGTACGCGAAACAAAAATCTCAAGAGTATCAGGTTTAGTTTTTCATTTTGACAAGCTTCATATGCTCACTTACAAGCTCGACCTCATATTGAGCCTATGAATTAGGAGCACACTCAGAATTCACTGATATTTGATTTCGTAAAATTCTCAACTTTTCGTTCTTTGTAAACTAGCCATTTTCCAAGAAATTGAGCATCGAGCTCCTTTATTTGTTGCATAATAAATAAGCAAATTAGAAAATGTTGGACTTAAAGTTTGATTTTCTGATTTCAAATGATAATACAGGAACAATTTGGCCATACTGTCCCTCCTGTATGTCCAGTATCTGAATTCCAGGGTGAATGTCATATTAATTTCATAAGGTTTGTCTTTTCCTTTCATTATTCTCACTTTTATTTTAAATTAAGGGGTTCCTTCTCCATTTCATTGCCAGTTTGTCAGAAAAAATTTTGCTAGCTTCAAAGTAGCTTCAAATACTAAACTGTGAACACTCTTGACATATCGTTTGTAAAGATCTATAACTTGTTCGTCTATCAGATAGTTCTTTCAGTTCGTTCCAACGTTCCAATCTTAAATAATATTATCATGATTATACTTGATACTGTGGTACAACAGTGTGCATTATTTATCATAATAAAGATGGTGCAATGATGCTGTATAGTAGTCTATTTTATTTTGTTTACAATTACTGAAATAAAAGATTTAATAGGAGTTTGCTGTTAATTATACCTATTCCAAAATCTTTCATAATAACTTCGTCATCTTGTACAGGAAGACACAAGCAAGCTTCAGTTGGGATTGGGGACCTTCATTTCCAACAGTTGGCATTTGGCAGCCAATATCTGTCGAAGGAGTACATACGATATTTGTGGACAAGATATCAGCAGTAGTCTCATTTAAAAGTTAATTCATTTCTCTCATTTTCTTTATATTTTGCACAAAACATAGTTGTAATGATGATATAATAGAATCATTTCTATAGCATTTCATGTAATTCATCTACGAATTAGAATATTAGGAATTCGAGGGTATGTTTCTTACATTCTTCAATTTCTTTTCCGTCTAGTTGGAACTTTTGAGAAAATTTATTGCAGAGCAATACTTCATTGTTTCGGTGAGGATTACAGTATGGAGTGCAGTAAAAGTCAAAAATGCAAAAGTGACATTAGCATTGCCTGAAATTTCCATCACAAATCGGTTTACTATTTCAATTAATCCATTAAACCGAAATTTCGTAGAACGAAGAGTGTCAGTGCCTAATAATGTCGTTGAGAGATGGTGGCCAAATGGTAGCGGCAAGCAGAAATTATACAAATTAGTTGTCTCAGTGTCTTGTGAGGGTTCGTGGGAATTTTTCAAAAAATCAATTTCTGTGCTGAAATCAAAGTCAAGTTATGTGAAAGATTTGAAATCATTGAAATCAAGTCACTGCAATTTTATAGTTTAGTTATATATAGTATAGTTGCTTTTCAAATATTGTTTTTTTGAAGCAGTAACTAAACAAATAGGTTTTTGAAAGCAACTTACAACTATACTATGTATGTTTAAGTTTAGGACAGTAAATTTTGATGTAAAGTACTTGATATTTACATTATCTTAAGAATATTGAAGTAATGCAAGAGTATGTTTGCACTGATGTTGAAATCATTCTGGTGCTACTTGTTTTATTTGAAAATGATATGTTTTATTTTCGATTTCTATTCTTTTTTTACTTCTGATCATTTTCAGGACAAAAATTTGATAAAGAAATGCGAGTAGGATTTCGAACAGTTAGGCTTATCCAGGACTATGTAAATATCGAAAAACCCACACTAGGACGATATTTTTATTTCATGATCAATGATCGACCTATTTTCCTTAAAGGTTTTTCAATCAGTAGAAATTAAATGACGAAAAAATTTTCGGCAAATCGATACACGTTGCTGTTACATATCAATAAAGCTCGTTTGAAATAAAATCTTTAGAATTACGTGGTTTCCCAAATAAGCATTTTAGAGATAAAGCAACGTGTCGAAAATATGTTAGTTTGCTATGCTTTGCATTCTTTAAATCACTCGGATCTCAAATTACTTGAATTTCAGGCTCAAACTGGATTCCAGTATCAACATTTCCGGCTCGCAATCATCGTTTTAGAGAGAAATTTTTACTTGAGTCAGCCCGTGAATCAAATATGAATGTATTACGTGTATGGGGTGGTGGTCGCTATGAAAGTGATCACTTTTACACTTTAGCCGATGAACTGGTTAGATAAGCAGTATTGTACATCCATCTCATACCTTTGTCCTAACTCCTTTCGGATTAATTTACATTTTGGCTATTTCAATTATAACCAAATTTAAGGTCAATTTCAATGGAGTATCCAGTCGAACAAGTTTGGATGTTGCAGTTACTTTTACGCTGTTTTTCGACTGAAATAGATTTTAATGTTGCAGGGATTAATGATATGGCAGGATATGATGTTTGCATGTGCGTTATATCCGGTGGATAAAGAATATTTGAATAATGTTCAAGAGGAAGTAAATGCTCAGGTTGTTGCTTTGAAATAAAATTAATCTTTTTGATAAAATCAACTTAATTAGGCATGTGAAGTTTTACAGGTGGAGCGACTTCGACATCATCCCTCAATTTTCGTTTGGGCCGGAAACAATGAGAACGAATTAGGTGTTCGCCAGTGGTTCTTCGTGGCAAATTACTCTTTCACTGACTCAGTACTTCTTATTTAATGTTTTTCTAAATATAGCTTAAGTTATGGTTTTTGTCTCATAGCTTTGTAATCTTTCTATAATTACCATTAGCTGATTAAGTGGGCAGTCATTAATCTGGATCAAAATTAGCGACATACATCCTGCAGGGTTTACATGCATGCTTTGGTTACATGTTTGTTTTTGCCTGCTTGAAACTTCCGAGACATATCCCCTTCGCTTCATTATTTAATAGACTGGACTTATTTTGATAGTCTTCTTAAATACTTAAAACTAAAATGAACATTAGAAAAGGTCGGAATGCATTCAATTTAACAGTTTTTCCTTTCCCTGTTTATTTTCAAATAAAAATTTCGTCATCAATTTCAATCTTTTTTTTTTTTTTTTTTTTTGTATTCAAATATAATAATTTATAGGTATCAGACTATATGAAATTATATAATGAAACGATACGACCAATAATTGCTCGACTGGATGGTACCAGGCCATATCTGTTGTCCAGTCCAACAAATGGAATCGAGTCTGAAAAGTAATTTTTGCAATCATTACAGTTGTTTAGATGTCCACAACAAATTCCTCTGTATCACTGAAGAAACTGTTTCAACTCATCATTTGTTACTACAGTATTTTGTAATTAAAATACCATATTGATTAGTGCAAAAAATTGGTGTAAAAAGATATTTATATTAGTGCAAAAAAGTTTTTTGAAATCTCGTAGAGAAGGAGGTGTTGCGGAATATCCCGCTGATGAGAAATACGGTGATATCCACTTTTATAATGAAATCGATGATCTGTGGAAGGATTCGACTTATCAAATCCCACGGTGCTCTTCTGAATATGGTGTGCAGTCGTTCCCAAGAAAGTAAAAATGCTACTATGTATCTTATTATCTTATTTTATATAAAGATATAATGATGTTAGTTTGCTCTGTCGAAATATTTTTTTTAGAACTTGATGGTATTTTGATTTGGCCTTTGCGTTTGCTTTGTTCTTTTATCCTTTTCCTTTTCTTATATAATATTTTTATTTAAAGTAAGGAAAGAGAATAGGAGGGAAGAAAGAAAAAAGAGATTCTGATGCATTCACGATTGTTACGTAGTCCATTTCAGAGAAACGATGTTGAAATGGTTAAATGAAACAGATTGGTCCTATACAAGTAAAGCAATGAGGCGTAGGCAGCATCATCCTGGTGGATTCTTGGCTCAGCTTTCCATGATTTTTTCACATTTCAGAGTAATCAAAAAGTTCCTTATATATATATATATATATATTTACTCTAAGATGCTTTGCTAGGTATTATCAAAGGTCTCGAAGGCAAAAATGCTGTCAAATTATTAAATTCCTTCGTATCGCACATGGTTCCGATTTTTGGGCAGTGCTATGGTCAGCTACAATCTTATGGTTAGCTAATGACTTATAAGATACGGAAAAATAAAGTTAGAGAACCAGAGAAAGCTCAATAAAAGGCCAAATAAATTGAATGATCTTTAATCCTAAAGGCTTAAATCTGTGCTTGAGCTTAACATGCAAAAAGCTCTGGGTAATGGTAAGATAGTAAGTATGGGTATTATTAATATTTAATGTTAGTCGACGGAAATTTTATCTGTAGGCTGTTAGTAAGATATTTAGTTGCAGATTCCAAACGAATGTGGGAAGATAATTAACGGAGACTGTGTATATCTGAGGACGAAGAAGTTCATGGACCGTTTCGTATACTTGTCCCAATTCCACCAAGCGATTACATATCAAGTGCAGACGGAGCATTATCGAAGGTAAACCTTACGGAACGAGAATTATAAAGTTGCATACTGGCAAGTAAAACGGAAACTAAAGTAGTACATTAATAGTAGTACTAAAAGCAAAAAGTTGGGACAAGGAGGTGTGGTAGAAGGTTTAGGAGTGATAAAAATGTCAGGATTTCATTTCATTTTAGGCTTCATTATGCTTCGCTATCAATAGCCTAATTTTTTTTCTCTCTCTAAGAATTTTTTTTTCTTTCTTTTAAAAAGTTAAAAAGGTTGGACAGATGATCAACTATAATAGGGAAGTATGATAGAAAGAAGTTTAAGATGGCGTGGACGATTGACGAAAGATAGTCGTGGTAATACGATGTGTGCTCTATACTGGCAATTGAATGATCTATGGGCAGCACCAACTTGGTCAACAATCGATTTTGAACTTTCATGGAAACCCGCTCAGTATTTTGCTCGTCGATTCTTTGCACCAGTTATTCTTTCTGTAGTGAGTCATGATTTTCTTTCACTTTATTTGGTAATAAATCTGTTATCATCATTTAATGCATATATGGTATCATTTTAATCACTAAATTACGCAGGCAACCACTTGATTTTGATTAATCTAAGAGAACAAATCTGAAAAAAAAAAAGATTTCTTGTCTGTGCTTTGTCGGGCTGCTTCTCATTAAAGAGCACTGGAATATATCTGTGAAATCACTTATAATAACTCATATGAAACCATTTATAATACTCATCTTTGATATATTCTATTTCCAGCTAATTTGCTTGGATGATAAATTAGGTATGAATTGTTGAGATTTTTGCTTTTGGTCTTTCATTTCAAGAAATATTTTGTAGGCAGTAGACGAAAACGTCCACATGTTCGCTATATCAGATCTAATAAAACCAATATCCAACGCAACAGTGGTCTTGGAAGTTTTCTGGTTTGATGGGTTCTTTCCAGTTTACTCATTTAAACGAGAAATTAGTTCAATTCCTCCGCAGTCATCTACTGAAATTTCTATCGATGAAGCCATTTCCGACGGAATAAGGTTTGCCTCATTTCGTTTAGTCCCTTATTTTCTGAGAATTCCACAAAAGTCTATGTTTGTTACATACATTAACGCTAAAGACCGTTAGTTACAATCGATATTATTTCAAGTCTGGAAAGTTTGGTCGTCCAGAATATGCTTTTCAAACTCCTTGTTATTTTTGCAGGAAGAGAAATAACCAGTACATTTTGCGAGGAAGGTTGTTGTCAAATAATGGTACTCAAATTGGTTATGATACCGTTCATTTGCCTGATAAGCTGTTTAAGGTAGGAAAAGTTTCACTGTTCGCAAAATTTTATTGCCTTACTGAAACTTATTTCAGATAGATGAAGTGAATTTCGGAAAAGTTTGGATTCGAGAACTGCAGAGGAAAAATGATATGTTGTATGAGCTGAAGCTGGAAGCTGACAAACCATCACCTTTCGTATATATGGAGTTAGCTCTAGGCCTAACTGGATGGTTTTCTGACAATGCATTCACGATGACCGAACCGAAAAAGACATTGGTGCTGTCTTTGTTCAAGACACCTGGACGTCAACTGACCCAAAGCGATATCACCATTTGTTCATTACGTGATTGTGGCAAAGCTAACGCATAAAACTTAATTTTTTTTTCATATATCAGCAGACAGTTTAATAAATTGAACCCTTGAAAAGCCATGAAAATGAAACTGCTGCATCAATGACCACATTACATATGATCTTCTTCGTCATTCAGTATGGCACTTCTTCCGGTAGAAAACGACTTCGTGACGACAAAGATTTTTTGAAAAAAGCTGGTGCTAGTGCCACAATACTATTCCGCCAATTACAATTACATGAAGGAACAACATGAGAATGATTAGTGTTAGTGGGATCACCATTAGTAAAAGTAAGTAAACAAAATAAATAAACACCTGCATAAAAAAGGGAGCACTTTGGTTACGTAAAGGTAAAAACCATTCTCATTTGTATTTACGTAATACATTGTGCCTACTTTGACAATATTTGGGTCAAAAGAGGTCAAAAAAAATTCCTAGTAGCTACCTTATATATCGTTAGGATGATAACTTTTCGTGTTATTCTCCAAAAGGAGAGTTTTATTTGGATGCAGAGCGGAAGGAATTTAATTTTTAACTGAGATAGAATCCTTTCGTTCTTTCGATTAGCTTATGGTTACACTATAAATAAAGTCTATATTCTCCTGCTCCTTTGTATACATATTATAAAACCAACTAAGTATACAACTGAAACGGATTTTTGCCTTCTTTCCTCTCTGCTCACTTCTCAGTATCATGACCTACAGGAAGATATTCTTCTTTTCCTTCTCAATTCGATAATAACTTGAATCCAGAAGTATCTAAAATACTCTTCCATATTAACTTTATGATTTGTCCCCTACGATAGGCAATTTCGACAAATGTTCGGATTTGTTGCATAATTGCCTAACTTTGATGTAAAATGATAGTCTAATGAATTTAAATGATTTAAAAGTTAGTGGCATAAAAAAGAGAAGAAATGAAAGAAGTAAAAAATAATTCCCACCCAATTTGATTCTTCAAGTAACCATCAGAGAATTACAATTTTGTAATTTCTATCACCCAAAATAAAATGAACAGCTTACTCTTCTTATTTTTTTTTTTTTTTTTTAGTTCTTATTTTACTAGAGTTAGGTTCTTTGATTAGAAATTCGCGAAAGTGTCTATTTATAAACAATTTGCCTTAAACTTCTAGCACAAATTGTCCTTTTTGATGATTTTTTTAGTAGAAAAAGCATTTCATTTAAAAGCGTTACGATTGACATAGAATTATGAAACGTCTAATGAATTCTGGATTCAACTTATTTCTATTGAGCTGACACTGAAATGGTCGAGCAATATATCTGACTTTTTTATGAAAGAAACAGGTCCCTAAATATTTTTTCTTAAAAGGAATTTATGTCATAATTGTTTCATAGCGGAAGTATTTAAAAGTTTTTGACATGATTTACAGATGCCTTTTACTCCACTCTCTCGTTTTATTCCAAAGTCTTTCATCAAAGATGACTAACTACCAGATAGGAATCAATATATTCAGCATTATGATTGATGTAGAATTATAAAACGAATTACGAAAGAAACGCATATGTGTGAATAGAATGATGGCACAGTTCAATTCCTCACTATCAAATTGAAATTTCAACAAGTTTCATTCGGTGCACTCACAAGAATTGAGAATCAGTAGTCATTAAACCATTACGGCGTTCCAGTTGACAAAATACGTCTCAGAATACAAAAACAGCCACGTATATTGCAACTTTTTAGCCTACCGATAAATCAAATCACCAAATTTTGCCCATGAACTTGAAAGATTTACCAATCTAAATGCTACTAAGGTTAGGATAAGTTAAAGAACACTTTTGGTTGTGGAAAAAAACATACCCATGAACCCTTTCTTTCTGCTCTCTTCTTTTGATTAGGAAATGGAATGACCTCAACCATATGCTTCGTTCCTTTCTTATTATTTCAATTGTTTAATTAGCTTATTTACTTGAGTGGCATGAAATGACACACGTACGACTCATTCCCTTCATATCGCATTTATTTATTATGTATGATATCTTCTTTGCTGAAATGATGAATATAGATAATGAATATATCCTTCAGCGATTGGTAAGCATAATCGATGACTGAGTGATGCATACATACACAACAAAGAAAATTTGGAAATAAAATGAGACGATTGTATAGAATTTTGGTAAGATGTCACTTGGATAATATACGTCAAAAAATTTAGGTAACGAACTTTCTTTATTCTCTTCCCTTTCGAAAATAGCACATTATATAAAGTTAACAATTAAGATTTAAATCAACTGAACTGATATCAAACCAGTATAGATCCAAAAATAGTGTAAGTCCCTTATCGTACAAAGTAAATGAATATATTAATGAAGTGAAATAATAAAATTAAGCCAAATGATATATAATGAAAAAACACGATTTGCTTCACAAATATCATTCTTCTATCTGTTTCTCATGGGAATTGTGTCAAAGGAAAAACTCTTTTCAAGCTGATATCTTCGCTGGACATTTTACTTCACCAGTTATCGGATTTCTGTCTGAAATTCAGATCGAACTTTTAGAATGCGTTCCTGGAACAAAGAGTTTTTTCAAGTCGAATTTCCGATTAAAATTTTCGCAACTTTTACAAAATTATTTTAAAAAGTATACAAAAAATTTCTTGAGGTCAGGAGAGAAATTTGCTACTAATATAGATATAGATATGCAAATGCCCTTGAAAACAAATATTACGGTGAAAATGCAAATATTAAATTGACTTCACACTTCCTGACCTCAAAAAAGATCATCACTCATGCGAATAATCACAATCACTCTGGAAAGGTTATATTTTCTTGTAATTTCAATATAATAAAAAATGAATGCATATCCTGCACTTTATAAAAATAGTCGTTTATTAAAAAAAAAAAAAAAAAAAACCTAGTAATCTAACAGTCTTAGAAAGAACTAGGATCACGATTTAATTTAGTAATCACAAGTAAATCTTTCTTTTCATTCGTTTACTCATTCTTCACTGAAGGGAATAACAATCGACCTGATCATGATTAAAATCAAGAACTTCGATAAGGATCTTTGTGAACATATACGGTAAGACAATTTTCAGAAAGTAATGGACGAGATGGCTGATAAATCACTTTAAAGAATCAATTCTCGCAATCTTTTGTTCGACACTGTTGGTTTTGTAAATAGTTGAAATTCACTGTGCTACAAAACGATTTACTTATGATCTTGTCGCAACTAATGTACAAGTAAAACTGTTCCACAAACTGTAAGCAAACCGGGAAAGCAGTGGTAGTTAAACGAATAGACTGGACGGAACGAGTTCAATTTAATTGATATTATAAGACATTTTCAGCGTCACATAATTTCCTCAATTTCACATAATGACAGCTGTGAATTTATTTCAGATGGCAGGTACAAACACGTACAAACAAATGATGGTGTTCAGAAGCAGAAACGAAGTTTCAAAAATTGAATTTTGCTTCTTAAAATGTGTAGTTCATTTAATGGCAGCCTATAATTACGCTATAATTACAAATACCAAATACTGCCTTTTAAAAATTGGGCGTGACGTTTCATTTCTGAAAAACGATGAAAATATAAGTTGTGAACAATGTAAAGTAAATATAATGAACAGTGTAGAATTTCTCTAGCCTAAACATTCCATCCGAAGGAATAACCTGAAAGCTAACCAAGTACAGGTATTGTCTTTTTAGGTGTTCGAGTAGGCGATTCAGATGCATTATTCTCAAAAATTGACGATCTGAAAGTATTTGAAACTTTCTTGGAAGGCGTCACTTGCTCCACATTAATACCAAAGATACGTTCACGTGTGTTTGTTGATGGACCGTTGCGTTTCGGGGTCTGCAATCAAGTGCACTCATGCAATCAAATGCAAAAGGACAAAAAGTTTTTTTAAGCTAACTCGATAATAAAAAATTTGTTTATTTAAATAACAATTTGTTTTTTCACTGCCGAGTATATTTTTCATTTTTTGTACTGTATATATTTTCCGAAAAAAAGAAAGTTTGGTGGCACAAAGCTCGATATATTGGAAGTTGCGAACTGACCAATAATAAGGAAATTTTCAAATTTTAAGTTCCTAAACTATCAAAAACTTGTTTAGGCACAACGATGCATAATTCTTTTAAGAAAAGTTGAGTGAATATTATTTGAAGTCTTTAATTTTATCTCGCTAATTAATAATTGCATTATCAAATTTCAGTGAAACAAATTCTCTTAATAAAGAAAAAAAAAAACCATTTATAGTAATTGTATGTCTTAGAGCAAATTAAACTTAAAACATCATTGACTGTTACAGCATCTCTTCTCCTACCTTGGAACACTTGTACAGTTCTTTTTTTCCCAGTTTTACTCCAGTTTAGCAAATATTTCTTCCACATTGCAACGAATCATCCTTTTCAGCCACTTTTTTCTTTATACATTGCAATTAACTGACAATTATCAAAACTGATCATGTTAGGAGTGTTATGCGCTACATTCCAATGTCACTATCACGGCTAACGTGTATCTTAAACAAGCAAGTATGACCAAGTCTAAGAAAAAACTTACCGTTGTTTAAATTAATTTTTATTAATTCATCTTTTTTTCTATTAATTTTCGTCTTTTTTTTACTAATTCAACCAATCTTCTAAAGTTTAGTTTAGTTTTAATCATGGCATACTTCAGCTAAGTTATTTAATTTTTCTCCGTTTTTAAAAAATAAAGCCTCTATCATTATCCCAATTATCAATACCTTTAAGGAAAGAAGCCCCAATTTGTAATTTACTCGCACCACCTTAATAATTCCAATTTAAGGCCAAACAAGCTTATCTTTGTTAGTGACAATCCCTCCAATATTCATTTCGAGGATGGACTCAATTTCTTCGCTGGTTGTTGATTCTGTTTCTTCACTAACTGGACCTTTCTAGCCATTATGAAATTGAAGATCATACAGCTCAAGCAGATAGTTCTAGACACTACGGCAATTACTTTTATGAATCTGAAGACATTATCTGAATAGTAATTGCAGGATCACGTCAAGAATGCGCAGGATATTACGGTTGGTACTTGGTGATTCATAATAATAAATTAGTAAATTTTTTGCTGTATTCCCTTATTTTCGAATTAGTGTAAACGATTCATATTATTCACTGTGTATTCATTGAGAAGGGATGAAACTACCTTCTCGAAAAAAGGAAAGAAAGCATGACGAGTATGCAAATTTCGTTTTGTTTTCGTGCAAACAATTTTTGATAGGAGTCAACTAACTTTTAAACTTAAGCTGTATTTGAAAATGTTTAACAATTATTGAAGATTATAAAGACAGCCAATGAGAGATGCAAAAACTCCTGATAAATATTTAAATTAAATTACTACTAAACAGTCCTCGGTATAGAACAACTCACAAAACAATTTACAGTACTGACAGATTCATCTGGGTTTTCGCTGTTTCAAAATATCCGAATAAATAAGATAGAATATATGGGGCTAAAATGTTAGCAGAAGACTTTGCGTTTCAAAAAAACGACATAGAATATTATAAGCATTTAAATGATCCTAATACTAGATCCAAATTTCTTATTTTTTCATATATTTCATTTCAATTAGTTTAATAACTAAAAATAAGTGGCTTTACAGAAATTTCTTTTTTTGCTCATTAGCAGGCTAAATGCGGGAAAGAGATATGGTGGAAAATGAGGAAAGTATGCAAATAGTGCAAAAAGTGAATCTTAGTATTCCTATTTTCCAGATGTTTCTGGAAGAGAAGTCTGAAAGATTCTAAGTGCAAAATTCTAACAGGTCAATTACCCGTTGTAATAGTGGGCCTATTATCAAGTAAGAGTTACCGATTTTTATAAACAAACAGTGTAATTCTTAGTTGCGTGACAAAAACTGAACAAATGAGCTTTATATTAAAGTTTAATGAAGATTAGTATAAAACCAATACCATAGAGACATTCAATTAAAAACCTAACTAGTGAGACAGTAATGCATTTTATATTTGCTGTCTTTATTGTACTAGTAATATTAGTAAGAATAGAAATAATAGAATGAGTTTTACCATCGAAATCCTGATCCGATAGTATTCAGTAATTCATTCACCCTATACTTTAGAAATGTTTGTGTTGTAAGCCGAAGAGACAATAAATATGAAAAAAAAAAAAAAAAAAACAACAAGCGCTGTTGAAAGTTTTGGATCAATATGCACATTTTCGTTTCCTATTCTATGCAAATATGATAAGTACTTTTTTATTTCTGTAATTATTTCCTGGAGTAAATGCATGAATAACTAACTGATTGCCATTCATCGCAAATACTTTTCTCACGATTGTTGTGCAAAAATGCATGACAAATTATCTAAGTATCCGTTTTATGGCCTTTGTTACTTTCAGCTTCTGATGATAAACTATCTCAGCGAATTCATAAACATTTTTAAAGTGGTTTCCAGGACATGTTTCACACTTTCTCAATATACCATTTTACCATTGCACTCTAGTTCACTGCTATATTTCTTTGTAGTTAGGAGCTGAAAACTTCTGGTTTATTAGCTTTCTGGTGAGACAATAATTCATAAGTTTGCACAGAAATGCCCCACTTAAAAGGGAATTATTCTCAAGAAAAGGATTCCGGTTGGTCTAAAAATATATTGGAAGTAAATATACTCGGAAATAAACATTATTCAAATGAACCGGGCCAATTAAATCAACTTAAGATTTTAAATGACCTCATTTTTCATATCAATCATTTAAAATTTTAACTCAATTTATTCTCCCTCTGTAAACAAATATACATATAATAATACATATTCAGAGATTTGTTGACATAATATAGCTCCGGTTCTAAACGGATTATGTTACTGCTGTTGTGTTTTGTTGTTGTGTCCCTTCTTTAATAGCCTATAGCGGCAGGCCTTTCAATAACAATCGCTAGTAGCAAGTGTACAAACATGGTCCTGTCAACTTTAAAGGAAAGCTAAGTCAACAAATTCTAGAGAATGCTTTAAAACAAGAATAATCCTTCCTGATAATAATTCAATGTCCCTCCAAAATGTTGACTCAAAACAACATCTTTTGAAAATAATATACGAAGATTAGATTAAAGCTTATTAGCTGAATTCAGACAAGACTACCAAGAAGGCAATTAATAGTAATAAAGAAGATTGGACAACTGTAAAAATTAAAAATAAACTGGACAATTATTGCGAATAGTATAGCATTGGAGATGAGACAAATATCTCACTAAAGCAGTAAAAGAAAATTATTATCTTTTTACGTACCACTTCTCTCCCTCTCTCGCTCTCCTGTCAAAATCTGCTTAATGAATTCAGAAAATTCATAAACAATTCGTTACGCTATATTTAGCGTTACAGTCCAGAGGGATGATTAGTACCAAGAAATTTTCAAGCTTGAACACACTGTTTACTGACCATACGGACTGGACAGTCTGAACAAATCGACAGTGAATAAAACGAATAATAAGACGATTTCACAGTAATTATGAAGAAACAAATACTTAAATGTATATTTAAATGCAAGCGTCTACCTCCAGCTGATGCCACGAAAAAGGAAAAAGATGAGTCACCGCTAAACTAAACTTAAAACGAGTGATAATTTCCATGTAGTTAGGATTAAGATTAAGCGAAGGTTATGACGTACTCCTTCGTGCATACAAATTCCAATAAAATCTGTTCTATTGTGGATCCAGCCTTATGAATTTGTAATTAGCAATGTTTTGTCGGCATATCTGATGTGAATATAAAGCGACAAACAAAACAAAAGGAAACATACGTTATGATTGATTGCATGGCTGTTTATTATTGTACCATTAGTAGAATTGGTGGTGCTGTTGCTGTCCGACATTAATACTCAGAAGAGACAGACACTAGTTATAGCAATGATTGAGCACTCTCTCAGCAGCTAAAATTTAACATTTAAAGCTCTAAAAAGTTGGAATTACATCAACAGTGGCTCAAATGGAGCATTTCTTATGAGTCGGAAGATACAACTTTCTGGAAAATCAAGTTAAATTAAACAATTTCTAAGCTGAACTCCGACTACTATTTAATATGAGAGAATGAAACAAAGAAGGAGTGTGTCTCCTTCCGCCTCTCTCACAATAGGATGAATGAAGTTTGAGCTCCAAAGGGATGGACGGACAATTGTTTGTCTTTTCCTCCTTCCATTTTGACGTGGATAGACGGGCGCATTGGGTAGATTGTGCCTTCCAATTGTTCGTCTCCGTCGAATTTTAAAAGCCCATAGAAGGGGGAGGGGAGATGTTAATTGGTTGTCGAGACACTACTCCACTCATACGCCCCACTCTACCCCTTCAGGCTGATAGTAGAGCGGTTGAGTTCCCTCCTCGCTGTTAACTGCATCCTACAAGGATATCGCGGATGGGTAATGGTCCAATACCGCTCAGTCCGCTAACTTTACAAAGTATTCATCTTAATGAAACACTTTGGAATAGCAAAAGAATGAACTACATGGGCAGAAGCGCAATAAATGTCGATTTTAATCCAGCGGTAAGAGACAACGACTGCTAATATCACATTAACAAAACCGCCAGAAGTTCTATTAGATGACCAAATAACAGAACTGATTATTGTTATGCTTATAATTCTAGTGCTAGTCATCAGAATCAACTGAGATTACCCATATTCATTCAGCTGATCAACCAAACAATCAGTCATTAACCAGAACCATTTTTAAATGTGACTCAGTCATTTGCTTATCACTAAAGTTTGAATGAAATTAAAAGATCGATTGATAACAGTGATGTTCAGGAGGTTGATTATTTCACATTAAAAACACTAAGCATGGCAGTTTAAAATATCTTCAAACAAACGGTAGAGATGTCATGTTCTGTAGTCACGGTATATTTGCAGTACTTCATCCTTAGAACTTACTGGCGCATATTCACGTGGAGTAAGAATATTGACTCAGATTGAATAAGCTTCGCACAACAATTTTTCTTCTCCTCACAACCTATGTTTCCCGAAAATGACTCGTAATGAGTTATTTAATGAATAATTTTCTTGCATTATACAACAAAGTGGAAGATATCGTTTGATGCAAATGTGTAACAGTATAAAATTACTTCCCTATATCTAGATCCACATAACACAATTACTGTTTTGCTTTTATTACCGAAATTGTGGTCGATTAAAATTTGAAACGATCTTCCAAAACACAAGTGTTATTGAACCAAAAAAAAAAAAAAACTTAAATTCAATTGCTTCAGAGTAAGAATGCGAAATAGTTTCAAATCAAATGCAAATTTTAAACCAGCTTGAATCACATCCAAAACTTTATTTTACATTCATTGGCGTATTAAGGACCAGAAAAAAAAAAACCGGAAAAAAGACAGAAAAGAAATCACTGTTTTTGTAGGTTTAAAATTATGAAATTGCAAAATTTCCCAAATAAGATTTAGATCGCGGTAGTAACTATTAAAGCGTCCTGAAACTCTTCCATTCTTTTTATTCCACTTAGTATCTAGCGTAACCGATTCGTACAACTGACATTAATTCCGATTGAATTTCGATGTCAATTTCCAAACATTTAACTGATTTTTTTGGAAAAGCCAGTGGAGCAATTTTTCAGAACAGTGACTCCTAATTTCTGGAAGATGTTTATATGCTTATCTACGAATTACTTTATCCATGTGCATGAAGTGTTATTGGGAAAACAAAAATATCAACGTGATCAAAGAACTTTATACAAATTGATGAATTAAGAAAAGCAGTGCAGCATGAAGAAGAGGAATTCTAAAGATCAATCCGCAATGGACTGCACCTTCTCGTAAAGATACTGCTGCTTGTTCACATTCAAATATGGTTTCAATTCACATTTCATGGTTGTTGGATGTGGTGCATAGGGATGACAGCAACATCGACATACACTCGTTCCATCAGGCCTAGAAATGGTTTGTAAATCTTATAGTGAAGATTGGTCAAAGGAATAGGTACGAAGTATGAGGCTGATGCTCACTTTAAAAGTAGCTCTCTTTCAAGATGGCTCTAAAAATACTTTGTTTACATAGAGGATATCAAATATGTGCATTATTCTTTTACAAAGAGTTTTTTTACTAATTAATCGTGATTAAGAAAAAATATCAATTAAGAAAGAAATTTTATTTATACTGATCCATGTGTTGGAAAAATCACTTGTACAATTTCCTTTTTTTCAATGAGAACACATAGGTGGTTAAGATTCAATTCAACAATAATTAAACATGTTATCTAATAAAATGGCTTATATAGAAATTAATTTATGTCTCATAATGAGTAAAAAATCAATAAATTATTATTCTGACAAAACCTCTTTGCAGATTTAAATATATCAGCGCAAAATTATAAATAAAACCAGTTCGTTATCATCCGCATGTAAGGTCTATATCATCTACCTTTTTTATAGTGAATTCAAAAATTCTAAAAATAAGGGTAGTCCAAATGTGAAAGAGAAAATACTGAAGAATTTTAGACTAAAAGTTGAGTTTGAATTTCTAATGTAATGTGAAATTACTGCTGAATAACGTGGTCCTCCGTTTCTTCTTCTTCCTTCCCCCTCCCGGCGATTTCGCCTTTAAATCCCTTCCCTTCATTCTGAAATGGGAAATTGATACACTAGAAAAAGAAAAAAAAAAAAAAAAACGATAAAGAAGATAAACAAAACGGTGAATGAATGAACGTAATGTGGCACTAATGTGTAAACAACATGCAAAAGAAAGAGATGATTTAATACACCTTTCCTGAATTTCTTGCCTAATAAAGTTTTTGGGTGTGCGAAAAGTGGTGCACAACGGATGAGCACAGAATAGAGACTGAGAAAGTAGCATTTTAAGATCTATTTACCTCACATTATCAGTGCGGGGGAAAATTAAAGACTCAGTGACGTTGGGAATTAACTTCAAACTTCAATGGTTCTTTATCTTTTTTTACAAACCAAATTGCACTTTTGAAACAACAATTTCAAGTCTTAAAAAAAATTTAGATGCCTAAAGATTCTTCAAAGAGTGATGAAAATATTATCAATAGGTATTTACTTTGTACAAATTTACCTCACAGATAACAAGATGATAAAGAAGAAACAAGCCAATATCAGCAATGAAGTAAACCAAAGATAAATTAAAAATATTTTGAAAAGACACGATAATACTGAACTTTTGTTACCATCGCTATCTTATAGACTATCAACAATCTGATTTCTTTGGTAAGAATGAATTTTGGTGATAAGTTGAAAGAAGCATATCTGAAGAATCTGAAAACAAATGGTCCAAAAAATGATTTCACTTTGGATCTTAGATATATCATCAGAATGCAATTAATGAATTATAGACCACTGGTGATTCAGATTTTTTCATGTTTCAGGTCCGAGCCAGAAATTTTCAATTTGAATACTAATAAGAAGAGGAGAATTGAATAGAACAGCCAGTTAGCACCTATTACTGTCAAAATATCAAACCTGATAAGCTCAAAACTTATCACTAAATTTAACAAAAACATACTTTTTACTCTTTTCCCACTACTTCTTTTACTGATTTTTTTTTCTTGAAGTTGTTGCTAATGTACCGGTCCTGTTTTCAATGAATACTTCCAGATTAATTCCGATGGAAATACAGCTTCAGCTACTCGAAAGTAAAAGAAAACATGCATGACACGCTTCAATTATTTGCTAAGAACAGTTAATCAGACTCATATTAACAAGTTACATTTAATATTGATTACAAAAGGAACAAACTTTGTTTGCGGTGTGCAACTTAGATAATCAATTTTATCGATAATCTCTTGCATAGTATGCGTTACATTGGGAAGTTTGATATTGGGATTCGGCCAATGTTTGCAATCTCCAACATATTTCGATTCACATGCCTCCGATTGATCTACTCCATCACAAATACGTTCCGCAACGAAAAGTGGATTGATCATATCAACTGTACCACTAAATTTTAGTAATGTCGATTTTTTGCCGGACTCAACATCGGTTTATAGGTTATGCAGTTATGCATTTATTTCTAAAGTAGCAGTAAAAGTTCTAAAATTTAATAATTTTTGAAGTTTCGACAAATCCGAATTTTTAATGGCATTCAGGATTTTGTAACCTGTATTTACTATTTATTCACCATGTGCTTAAAGCAAGCAGTAACTCATAAATCAGTAACGTAACATAAATTTTTTAAAATACTTAAAAGTTGGAATAGAAATTGTTAAATATGTTTCGCATACTGCAACGTTTAACTGTAGATACAATTTTAGCATACCATATAAACTTAATACAAAATAATTTTCACAGCTTTATAGCGAGATCTATCATAACAATAGTCCAATCTTAATTCCGAACTGACATAGCATAAATGAAAAAACTTAAATAAAAAATCCAATTAACATGCACTAAAAGATAGGGTTTCCTTCTGGAATTACCGCTGAAAAGAAAAGGGACAAAAAAAGGAATATATGAAACAATTTCATATTGCAAAATGGGTTCCATAAGTATAAAAGGAAGTTAATTTTCAAAAGCACTTTTCGAGAGAAGAATATCTGTTACGAGATATTTCACTATCTGTTATTTGCCTTTTTTTAAAAAAAATCATATATTAATTCTATTGCTGTGAACTAACCGTCGGTGACATTGCCTTCCACAACTCTGCTGATAAGAGCATTGTCCACATTGATGTTGACTGATAGTGATGTCGCGCAGATAATTATAGAAATTGTTGAAAGCCTGAAATTAATTAATATTAATGAGCTAGAAGATAAGTTTCCATTCTATTTGACCTTCTTTTGGCTTCTGAAAGATATATAAGCGAGATCAGGAAAGCATTTTTCTCACTGAAAATAGGAAGTAATGTAATTTAAAGCCCATTTGCTTTTGCTTATTTCAAATTAAAATCTTCAAGTCGACAGTGAACAAAATATTGGTATCCTCCGACTAGCACTAAACTGACAAAAAAAAAAAAAAAACTTAGTTACATCGTTTCATCTGACGACCTTAACTGGAAATTTTTTTTTAGATTTTTTTCTAATTTTTAAGTCTTTTAATTTAGTGGAAAATTAATTTTCATTGTTTGTAATCGTAAATATTAATAAGAATCTATATTTCGAATATGAAACTGGTAAAAGTAAATAACAAAATTAGAAATAAAAGGGAAAGAATGACAATGATGATGTACATATTCGAGGTCATTCTGAATTGTACCATAATAATAATTGCCCAAATGAAAGCGCTTGGGAAGTAACAATTGAATAATATTTGACAGATAAGATCTACAATTGGTAAAAAGAAAAACGAAGATCTTAACCTGACTATTCCATCTAGCTTTAAGAAAATGAACTTCTAGATTCACAAGTATTTTGACTCTAAGGAACAAGTTTTCCATTGATGAATACCTCAAACAAGAATCTCTTGTGGATTTCACTGATTTTCACAAAATTATACATATGTATTTAATCTTTCTGAAACAAAATTTTTTCTTGAGATTTGGTATCTTGCCTGGAATGGCTCATATTGTACTATATAATAGCTTCAAAATAATATTTCTGGAATGATTGTGTTGCAGGTGCTTTTCGAGATTTCTTCGTACTTTTAAAAATTAGGACGCACCGATAAAATTGCTTATTCAATATAAACTATCACGACACTCCAAAAAAGCCGGTGAAAAAATATGACGTCATCCTTTCTGTTTAATCTCTACTATTTTCTGCTTAAGCCAACAACTTGCTGGCTTCGAAATTATCGATGCATTAGAAAATGTAACGACGATTGTTGGTTGATTTGGTTATGTCTCTTCGAAGGTTATTCACATTTGTATTTATGCTTTGTCATTTGTTTCACTCTTGGGAGAGAAATAAGTAGAACTTTCAGTGACATTTCCAGTGATTCAAATTAAAATTTCAAAGTGTTATAGGAAAAACTTTTCTCAATGTATGGAGCAATTGAAGAGACTGAATAATTTCGGAGCGGGTATGAGCTGTTTGTGAAAATATGGTATTTTTAAAAAAAGAATACATCATGATATTAGTAATAAAAGCTCTGATTGAGAGTTGAGTTTTGGAGCAATTACCTATTTCGATATACCTCACTTTAACACTACGATCGAAAAAGACGCTGCTGATAGACAGTTAAGCGGAATAAGCCATTCTCAATCCACAAGAAATTGGTCAATTTAAAAATGAGTAATCTCATTAAAAAAAGACACTCCTCCACAATAATATCCATTAGTTAATACAAGCGAAAACCATGTTAATTTTAATATTGATTTCAATTTTCCAAAAATATTCATCCATTAATAATTAATATTCGAAAAATTTAATATTGCTGTTATCTAAAAGTTTTTACAGAGAACAAATTTTTTCAAAGGATAACAAATGACCTACTTAAACGTATATTTCACTGCTCACGACAGATCATTGAAGATTAGATCCTAATCTGCGACGAATAACAAATATGCGCAACAACGTTGTTGAACTTTAAAGTGACTACAAAATATAGTTCATTGCACAAACAGAGTATATCGAATAATTTTTGACCTTCTTTTAAAACGAAGTAATAAATCTTGAAAAATGAAGTAATAAATTTTATTTAGTGAGGTTACCCATTTTTAAATTGACCAATTTCTTGTTGAAGAACCACCTAGAAATTTAATTAAGAATTTGGAGATTTGATGTAAAATCTATAATTGTTTTCATTTGAGAATCAACTGATACTTATTGTGTTGTTACTTTTCAAATCCACTATTACCATCATCACAGAGTTCAAGGAAAAATATTTTCAGAAGAATTTGGTAAATGTTTCTAAAAAATGAATTTTAATACAAGAAGAAAGAAAAAATAAGAAAAATAAGGAAAAAAATAAGTATATAACTAGGCAACTACGAATTCAGGATTAAGGATTAAGGAGAAAATTTTTGTCGCATTAGTATCTGTCATTGGTTGATGAAGTACATGAAACTTATGTGTAAGTAATATACAAGTTTATATATAGTAATTAAAAAAATAAAGTCCTAGTAAAAGCAGTAATAAATAATTCTGTTAGGAAAAAGACAATATATACTACAGTGCATAAAATATTCATGGTAAAATCGCTGGAAATCTTGTCTTTACCATTGTGTCCATATTAAAATATTTTTGTCTCCAAAATCAAAAGAAGAAACTTGAATTCTAAATGGAACTTACCACGCTCCAACGTTCCCGTAAAAGTTTGAAAAAGATATGTGAACGGCAACCGTTCTTGCCAGGCAGTAATTGATCAAAATAGGAATTTTGCCATCGTGGATTATTACCTTTTAACCAGATACATGGACCCCAAGCTGTCCACTGGGCGCAATTATCCGCCTGTACTGCATTTCCAAACATTGATGACAATTGTGCTTCTGAAAGTGGTTAGAAGCATAGAAATTTTTCTTTAGAAGCAGCTTAATTTCAAGTAAGTAATTTCTGGTGGATGGAATAGTTTTCTAATAGAATTTCTAATGTTTTCCGCTTTTCAAAAAAATGAATTTACTAAGAAATGGAAAGAAGCTTTCAAAATAAAAAAGATATGAAAACTAAGTTGCGATAATTTCTAATAAAAACAATTCCCAATGTTGAAAGAATATGCACTAGTAAAATCGAGCAACATTTATCCCAATCTCAAACAGAAAATATAACTAATATTTGTGAATCCTACAAGTCAAGCCTATTCACTAAATCCAGAAATTAATCAAAAAAGAATGAAGGACCAAATATGATTTCAAGCCTGATTTACTCGAGTGCTTTGTGCGTTGTTTACTTATTTATTTGAAGTAAATGTCTGCAAGCACATGCAATATAAGCAGAACTGCTGATCTTAAAAATAAAATTCGAAGACATGGAAATGAAAACAATTAGAATAAATGATTAGCATAAGTCAAAAGCAAAGGTTCAGCTTAACTGAACATAGGTACTAATTATCTTCAAAGTTGTAGTCAAGCTCATTTCTTAGCAAGATAAGTAACGAACTCTTGGACTGAATGTATCCATCAAGTTAAAAATCAATTACAAAACAGAAAAATGAAATATGAAGCACTAACCTACGTCATTTGAGGAAAGAGTGAAAACGATGGACGTAATGACCAACGATGCTATTACCATATTGCTGAACTATTGGTAAAATGTAAGGTGAAATAGATGACAAGGTGATAACAATAAGAACGACAGTAACAATAGCAGGAAGTTTTGTTCAGGAGGAAGAAAATAAAAATCAACGATACTAATTAATCTAGACGTACCCTTCACTGACCAACAATCACAACGATAGTGATAACGATCGCCAATATAATGACAGTTGTGACAGATACAGATATAAATAGAGACTGAATGATAGAAGGGAAAGAATGGATAAATGGATGTGATGTCCACTAACCAACTAACTATCCAATCTATCATTCATATCCGTCCCTGCTCAGTCCAGTTTCTTATCTTATTTGACATTATATGCTTTAATTACTAAATCATTAAAAAACCTGTGTCTGCGTGAAGATGACCCAGATATCCACCCGTCCAGCAAACGTCATCGCCACATTATAAAGTATGAAATGATTCCATTAATTTCAAACTTCTTTATTGATTTTTTACCAGTTCGTTTTAAAAAATCAATGACTTTTCTATTCTGTAAGTCATTATAACATTAACTAATTTCAAGAAAGAATAGCACTGGAGCATGTTTGCTTCAAATCCTGCTTACTCAGGGAATAATCGAATCAAGTTCTCTTGCAATAGGCGATCTTCGGAGCTATCAATGAGATAATCAGTGTCTTGTCAAGGCTGACTATTATACACCTATTTATAAAAAGCAAAACGAGTGCTTATCATTCAATTTCTGAGCTATTTTGATATTAAAATTCTTTGTCTAAATATTTTACTATTGTTTAATATTTTATCTTCTCAAGAAACTTCCCAAAATCCCCACATAATTTGATAGGCTCGAGAGAAAACAGCACGGAAACTAGGTTTATCAGAGAGGGAAGTCCATCGAAGTGACAAACTGCACCAACGACCATAAAATGACCATACTTGGAAGAATGAAATGTGAAGCAGTTTCATCGCGTCCTCCAACAAGACCGCGAAATTCAACTAGTTTTTGCCCCTTCAGTAATTGGTTTCGATGCGGTGTGTGCTTTTTTTCGTGGATATGTGGTGAAGCGCCATTCTATGCACAATTTCGCATAAGCTTACAACGTCGTAAATCTCTAATGAATCACTGATGGTTTAGGTAGATTTTGGATGACTGAAAATTTGAATGAAAATGGTAAATTACTTCCATTTACGTTGTGCGATTGGTAAATTTGATCTTTGAGAAAAATAATCATTATGAGAACTTTTCAGAGGTAGGATGTCATCACTGGAAAGAGCCGAAGATGTAGTGCTTCCTGTGTGCGAACAGTCGGTAAATACTGCCTCTACTACCGCTGATGTTTCACCCTGGAAAGCAATGGTAACGCAAGAAGTATTTTTCAGTAATTCTTATAAGACCTATTCTGTCATTTTTGAAATTAAGATTTTTACCTTACCTCACCATTACTTCTCATGCGATTTGCATTTAATATAGAATTACGAATAGTTGGGTGAATTTAATACTCACTCACATTTCTGGGCTGTCTAGCATTTCATTTGATCTTTCCAGCGCTATGACAGAATCGTATATAGCTATAAAAATTGAATGATGCTTGAGTTATTTTTACCTACTTTACTTCACAGAAAACAGTGGCTAAGGATATGCCCGAATCGCCAGATATGAAATTCGCTAGAACACGTTTTGGTCATCTTCTTGATGGAATACGAAGTGGTGAAATTCAAACTGGAATACAAGCTAGAAATCGAGCAAGAAGGTGAGATTGTACTTTATCAAAAAGAAATGTTCTTGGTCGAAATTCTAAATTTTTCTGGAATGTTTAAATTTAGTTGTTCTAATGTGAATTTCTTCTTTATAGTCCAGAAGAGATGGAAAGGGACTTGCTTGAACGTCCAAAGAAATCGTTGAGACGTGAAAGTCGACGTGGGTACTTATTTGGTTTAATTATAATAATATAGCATTGTTTTGTTGATGTAGGCATTATATTCAGTTCTCGAATATATAGGGGTTTTTTTTCTATAGATTTTCTTTGTATCATCTGCGGATACTAAACTGGCGTTATAGCCATTAAATAATAGAATTAAATAAACATTAAATAATAGAACTAAGTGGTCACTCTGTCCCATGTTTAAATGGAACAGCCATTAATTTTATCTTTAAGTAAGTGACTTAGCAAGATGTTTTTTTTTTTTCTTCAAATATAATATAAAATTAGTTTTTAGGAATGGTTTTTGAACTCCGCGGCAAACCTTTTGCATTGCGAGATAGTGGTCGTCGAGAAGGCGTATACGCACTATGTCGAAATTGGATGCGAGGTAGTGATGACGAACGACCAAGAGAAAAGCGAGAAGTAGAGCATCCAGAACCGCCCGACGACTCGCTTGTAGGTTCAGTCTGCAGAAATCTTTTTTTTTTTTTTTTTTTTTTTGGGTTTATTCTGACCAATAATTTTTTACACTCTTTGTTTTAGTTTTCTAACTGGTTTCGTGTAGTTGTTGAAAATACGTTTGAAACGAAATTTTTATACCTAGGATTCAGTCTTGTAATTTAAAGCTGAAAATTTTCACGACCTTTCCAAGCAAAAATTGGAGCATGGCAGCATTGCTCACTTTGAGATTTTTATATGTGACATGATTTTTAAGTCAGGAAAGTGTAAGATGCGGTGAAAAAAATTGAAATTCCGGAAATAATATAAGACATAAGTATATAAGTGTAAAAACAATTCTTGTTCGAACAAGTTAAAGTTATATTTAGGATTTACTGGCTACAAAAGAAATTTGGGCACTGCCACGACCGCATGATCGTATTCGGATAGAACCAGCTCCTCCACCGTTGTACATTAGTACAAAAATCAAAGTAGATACAACAAGTTCTAGCGAGCTCTTGGCCGTTTATCTACCACATTGGAGAAAAATTAAGAAGAAGTCAGTTTCACCTCAGGAAAAGACAGAATTCTTTAGGAATTAAAAAAATACTTCGCGTAGCTTTGGAAAATTGACGAATATTCACTCTTTTGGTGTTTGAACGCAAGGACATTGTAATTCAGTGATTTTTTGGGAGTTTAAACAAAAAAGAAAACTTAAGAAAAAAAGTATAACAAAACTAATTTTCAGCTGGAATGAGTATTCTCGAATTCGAGACCGACGATATCAAAAAAGTATCAGATTGCTGAACACCGTATTCACTATGAATCAGCAAAATAGCATTATATGATATATAAATATGAAGGTAAATGTATCCCCAATATCCCGAGCTATACATGTTTCGCAGTTAGGCCGTTTTTCAAAACAATAGTGCAACATCTGAACATCTTTTCCACATTCACTTAAAACCTTTCTCTCTAATTTGCATTTTATTAACCAATTCACATATTCAACCAAAATCTCATTGGTAACGAATTGTTTTCTTTGGAGATTTGATTATAAAAACCTCGTTTCGAGATTTTGTCCCTATCTTTCACATAGTTTCTGGCACATTTAATCAGTAATAGCAGTTACTCAGAGTAGTTCGATTGATAACTAAATTTTTGGTTTCCGGAATTTAGAAAGACGGGAAATTGTAATAAAAATATGGCATATATATATATATATATATATATATATATATATATATATATATATAAGAAGAAACATCGAGTAATTCTGAATCTTTACAGCTGAAATAAGGTTATCTGACACTTGTTGCTATTTGAAATATCTATTGCAAGTGGACAATCCAAGCATGTAAATCAAAATGAACTTAACTTCAGCGGAAAAATAACCACTTAGCAAGTAGATGAACCATGCTTGTTTGTAGTAACATGCAAAACTTTATTAAATGATAGTTATGAAAACTGAAACGAAAAGTGTGATTAAAGGTATGGGTGTTACCAGTTTGCGAAATTAAAAGCTAAAAAACCACCAGGCAGAACACTTCTTAATTTCTATTAATTTTGTAAGCTTAATTATAATCAAAAAGCGAGCAATTTCTGTTCGACAGCAGCCGTAATGCCCCTTCAAAATCTTTGACCATGCGATGTTGTTTAAAATCAGACCGAAATATGAGAAGTTAAGGGAAAAACTCAGGTTACCTGAAAAAATGTTTAAATAAGTACGAAAAGCGACTCCCGTTTCTTGAAATAAATACATAAAAAATGAAAAATTGAGGGGAACGCATGTTCCGACAAAGTCAAAATCATTGGAGAACTGTGTGTTATAAAGATGCGTACACTGTGTCAAGAAATTGCTCAACAAACTCAAAAAAATTACTGTTCGACAGAACTTGTTCATCCTTATGGAGAAATTACGAGGCAGCCGTAAGGACTCTAAGATGCTTTTTTCTTAAATCTAAAACCTTATATACCTCTAAAAGTCTTGAAAATGCGAAATCGAGCAAAAAACATGGTTGCAATAAGTCCACTTGGAAGATTCGGAGCAGGTCACTGTTGGTTTCCTCATTCTTATGTTTTTTAACAAACAATTATTTGGCAATAAAGTGATTCTAGGACAAATGAAAACACTATGATTGCAATAATAACTGAGGCAAACATGTTACGACCAACCAGAACTGATGGAGTGTTAAAGAATTCATACGATAAAAGATCTGAACCTCTCACCGGGTGTTCGACTAGCTATGTCCGTCAATTGTTCCACAGAACCTAGAGACTGTTTTTCAAACGCCACTGAAGTGCTCCTAAAAAAGGTTATCCAAGCTCTAGTTTTCTTTTTTTTTTAGTCTCCTTTTTTGCGATTAAACAAAAATTATTTTTGAATAAAAGACCGATTTCAGGTTAAAGACGGTTAATTTTTTACACTTAAAATTCTAGATGATACTGGATAAAAGCACATTTGCGATTCCCAGTATACGTTATGCACAATTCGGCAAATACCTCAGAATCCTAATAAAGAATCATTTTACTATAACAACCAGTTTTGAAAACAAACGACCAGTGGATACCAAAAGTTTTAGCTGGAAATTTATAGGTAAACATTGCAACGATAGTAACACGCATTTTTAGAAAAGTGACTTTAAAAGAAAATTGGTTCTGGAAATAGTTAACAAAAGATGAACACTACAAACAAGAAAAGTGATAAGAAAAGTGATCTTAATATTTTCACTTTTTACTTGCTTACAGTTGAATGAAAATTTGGAACAGATTCTAATGATATCTGATTTTCTAATCCTGTTTCCTTTGACGCACACGCCTCATTTTCGGGGAATTGTGACCTTCATTTTTGAATTCCTCACTAGATGACGCTTCCTGCAACAATTCATTTATCATAACTCCTAAAATCTTTAATCCTAACATAAATTTTAACTTACACAGATCCAATCTCGTCTTCTCTCCGAAACTCGATCCATATACACAAAGAAAATTCTTTAGTATTATAAGAGACTAAGAACTGAAACGCAAGATACTCGACACTCTAATTATAAGACTTTTCATTTAACAATAAATTATCAGAAGCCAAAAGATGAAATGACGCTTCAAAAATTCGTTTTTCCAGGTTTCATGCTTACCTCTTCCACATAGACACGATTTGGTGATCGAGACAAAGTTCGCTTTTTTTCTTTTGTATTATCATCATGTGCTTCAGGTTCTTGAGAACTTCGCTCCATAGATTCATCATCGTCACCGACCAGATCCGGCACTTCATCGTCAGGATGCGACTTCAAAAAAAGTAAGGCATAACTCTAGCTAACACTGGGAGAGATAATTGAAACAAGTACTTGAGTAACGTGACTTACTTCATCAGTTTTTTTATAATCCAGTGTGACTGCCCGACTTTTGCGTCCGAAGTATATAACAGCTATGATGACCACTGGTATGAGAATGAATAGTACATAAATAACCCACAACCATGGCCGCTCTTCGGTCGCTGATACAAGTTTACTGAATATTCCTTGACTAGGAGAGGAAGCGTTTTCGTAAGCTGTCTCCTGTAAGACGAACGGCAAGAGTAATAGAAAATTAAAGTTAAGAAAAGGATAGCTTTTAGGGAATTTCGATTTCTTTCACAAAGATTATTTTAAGAAACTGAATTACCTGAGCAAGTTTGATTTTGAAAGTTTGTTTGGCGAAATTGGAAGCTGCGTTTTCATCATCTCCAACATAAATGTTATCAAAGATGATGTTTGTACTCATCGTCCAGAGTTCAATCCCGAGCGCTATGATAGGTTGTAGTTGAGAGTATGGATGAGGTTCGAAATAATTCGGATTCTCGATTTGCTTTGGCTTCCACTTCCCTTTATAATTAGGATTTGTAATGCGTGGTGGCTTCCACTTTCCCTGCAAAGATATAAAATGATTCGCTTCTTAGCCTCATTTCAAACAAAAATTTTATACTACCATTTTATCAATATGAACATTTTCAGATAAATACAATACATTTATATTATTTCACTACATTTACACTATGGTTTCAACTGACGTAAACTGGCTTAAATGATATTTATGTATTAATCAAACATATATATGAAAAAAATTTATCAGTTTAATTGTGAGATGAATTTTAAAAAACACAACTCCGAAAAATTTTTTTTTTCAAAGCTGCAAAGTTCTTTAATAAAAGCAAGGGCTGACATTCAGCATTAAACTGCTATAAAATAAAAAATCACTCCCGAAATTCAAAAACTCACTTTATAATTTGGATTATCGACCATTGGTTTTGTCCACTTACCACAACCGCTCCGATCTTTACATTTTGGATTATCAACTCGCGGTGCTTCCCACTCACCATCCATACTATCGTCCCAATCTGATGGTTTCGTTGCCTCCGGATCAGGAATTAATGCCTCCTCTTCTTCAAGCCAATCATCAGGCATTACCGCATTCACATCTTCAATTTTTCGAGGAGCATTTTCATCCCTTAAATAGTAGAAATAACGCAGCACGGCAAATCCAACATTAGTTGTGAAATGAAGAATAATAATTAAAAAGCTCCTTTGATTATGCAAATATACATTAAGCTTCCATAGAAAGTTTAATAGCTAAATAACTAGGTAACATTATATGAACTTGCTACTTCAAAGATTTCGTAACCCACAAATTGCGGTTTACTAGTGTTCATTCAGGTATGAATAAACTTGAATTTGAGATTGATTCTGGTCTGCTCTTATATTAAATCCCGCAAATTTGTAGAAAGTAGTTGAATACAGTTTTATCCTTCATTAACACAACTTCAACACTCCATAAAAATTCACCAGTCGTCAGGTTTTTTGGCATCTGGATCATCGATTTTTTCACGCTCATCCCAAGTCTCAGGCTTTTTGTCTGTCGGATCATCAATTACAGTTGGAGGAGTAATCGATGGCTCGAGATCCTGAAAACATAAGAATGGAAAATTTGTTCTAGTTTTAACAGTAAAAATAATCTATTTATCAAATTTTTAAGCTTTTACTGAAAAAACTTGGGTGGTTGTTTCGCATGGTGCTCCTAAAAAACATACGTCTGTAATGCAGCCGAATCACATGGAATATAGAATGCAGGATATCGTTCTAAAAAAAACTTGGAACTAATCAAAAAGTATAAAAACAGAAAAACTTACTGTAATCAAGCTACCAGATATAAGTTTACTTTCATCAACCAGCACAGTAAACGTTTCATCTGGTCGAACAATCAGAGTGTACAAATGGGTTTTGTGATCGTCAAAATATGTTGAAACTGGTTTGGATGGTTGTTTCGCATGGTGCTCCTAAAAAAAACAACACTCAAAAAAAAATTTTTAACGCGTGTGTTTCTAGTAATCACTTCATATAAAACTCAATCTCAAAATTCGTTGTCATACTGACTAAGCAGCCAAAGCAATATACTCTTTTTGAAAATTCAATAGACATTACTACAGAGAGATGGACCTAACTATTCTTAATTTGATCCACAAATAAGCTAAATGATTTTACTGCAAGCATGAGCTTTTTTCAAATACCGTATGCAGCCACAACAGTAATGTAGTCGAATCACTTCAGGAACCAATTATACTGAATCCAATTTCAATAAATTATTTCAATTTCAATAAAAACTCTTCTACCATCATCTATGTTCGTTGCATTTTACATTTTCGCTTAAAAAATAAAAACTAATGACAAAAACATATTTGAACTAACAGAAACAGTGCCATTTTTGGGATTTCTGAAGCGAACAATAAACAGGATACTGGACTTGGCACCACATTTATCAGGTCCAAACATTATCGTATATGGTGTTTTATCTGTAAATTCTTCCAGTGCTTCTATACCCTCCGTTAATAATTTCAGGTAACCACCACCACATTCCTGTCCTTCTTCATATTTTACCTCATACCTGAAAACGACCATACCTTTAATCCAATCAAAGATTTTCTGTAGTAGAAAAATTCTTGAGCAATCTTCAATGAGCAATACGGCAAAATTTTAAAATAAGACTGTTCATTATAAGTGATTTACAAACATACAGGTTTCTAATTAAATGTCAGTAAACAAAAAAAAGATCTAGTGTATAATGAGACATCTACTGCACTTTTACTGCATAGAAACAAAATGTTAAAACTGTTTTTTACATAATGCAAACTCATTAATGACATAAAGCTAACACTACATATGTTTGGGCTTTCACAAAAATAATTTTTCCTTTTAAACTTTTAAAAATCATAAAGATATGTAATGCTCGCTCCTTTTGCATCTACTTGTCTAAGTAAAAGTTTTCTCGATTCGAAATAATTTTAATTTTCCATTCCGTAACATTTCTAACAGTATCCAATTTTCTTTTCAATAATTTTGCAATTAGGAAATATCTAATAGAATAAAGATGTTAGAAAAAGTTTCAACCACCCATTCCTAGTACACTTTTCTTATAAAAAACTAACTGCACAATTAAAGGTTTGCCATCAAATTTGAATGGACGACTGAATTTTGAAGCAATTGCATGATGTCGTGCTCTACTTTTTACAATTAATCCGAAGTCATTGTCGATCACGACTGTTGAAGGAGTGCCTATTTCCCACTGACCTGAAAAACTATTTACATTAATGCCCTTCCCTTTCCAAACTACCAAAATCAAATAAATAATTGACGCAGTTCGTTATAAGTGACTTACAACATATAGATTTATGATTAAGTTCTGCATTTATTAAATCACTTATATGTTAGTTCACCTCAGTGATGTCGAAACTGGCGCATTTGAAGAGTTATTTTTACAATACTTACTAGCTAAAAATAACATTAACTTTTGCTTTTTAAATACAAAATTGAGCACTCATACAAAATGAAATGGCAATACCATTGAATTTGGCTATTGAATCTTCCACATTATCCTTTTTGCCCTTTGATATGAACCATTTCCTACCAATTGCATTACGATTCGAGAACCAATCTACCAGTAGAGGTGAACCAGAAACCATTGGTGTTTGAAATGGAGGCGGTATGTAATCCTAAAATAACATAAATCCTCTCCAAATCTAAAACTAACACTTACTTCCTGCTCCTCAGCATCAATACGATATCTTTTGTGAAAGACGGAAAATTATAAAAGCTGAAGTATTAAGCATCTCTTAACACCTAAAACATGTCATATATAGATATTTATTTGCAGTTATCAGGAATAAAATCAATGAAAACAATGAAGAAAAAAAAATTGGAAACACATAGCAAGAATTTAAAGAATAACTAATTATTATGACTTTCATTTCCCACTTTGATTTACAGGAAATATAGAAAGTTCAAGTACACTGGACAATTAATCAATATCTAAACGTATCTAACAAAAAAAGATTACACAAATAAGCACTCAAGATATAATGACGAAAACTTACAAGTTTTGCACTTTTTTCTTCCTCATCGATTACATTCTTCCCACCAAGATCATTATTGCTATCGTCCTCATCATGCGCAGCACATGCTGCCAGTAGCAATCCAGCCAACACAAAACACAACCACAAATGCTGTCGCATATTCCACCTGACCTCCAAATAGGAAAATTGGAAAAAGTTACATGATTTTACAGGCATTTCAAGAATAGTTCATGAAGTAGTAAAGTACTAAATGATGCTGAGCAGTTCAGAAAGAACTGAATCATGTATTTAAAAAGACTCATTCATTTCGTGTTCGAAACAAAAATGGTTAAGTCATAGACCACACAAACAGCGTGAAAACCCAATTTTTGAGCGATTTCACCATCAACTATTCTGAAAAGCTTTTAATTACCATGCACTTTTTCTTGCTGGCTTACTATTGTTAAGATGACGTGTATAACATGGCGGCCGAAAAAGTATACAATAGCCGACCTAACAATACATTACAAGTGATGAGTCATGGCGAAATAAATCATACTATTTGTATTCTTCTAGCTGCTGCTAAAGGCCAAACAGCAGAACCACAGCCAAACAGAGCACTAATTCATCACTAAACGATTATGAATCAGCTTAACCCAATTTGAGATAAGAGTTGCACAGATGACGACCAAGTAAACATGGTCCGAACAAGTCACCTTTAACTGCTAGTTTGTTGTTCGGTCATTTTCAATAGGTTTTTTTTAGCCGATTGCGATATTTACCACATTTTCCTCAACAAGTTACGAAAAATAAAAGCGTCATAAATCAAAAGGTTTGAATGATAATACGATAACAGTGGTTTACCACCATAAAGTTAGAGCAATGAAGCTAATCTCTTCGAAAACTTTAATTTTCAAGCACTAATAAAAACTGCATACAACTCAGAAATTTAGAAAAAAACGAACAAACTAAAAAAAAGCATAAAACACTAAACAATAACATTTCCAGCAAAAATAATAGATACATATATTTCTTGAAACGTGTAAAAAATCGGAATTTCGGAAAAATAAACAATGACTTAATAAACAATAGGAAATCCAAAAAAAAAAAAAATAGCAGCACAAACGTGTAACACTTGTTCACGTAAGTAGTACTTTTCCAGAACTAGCAACAACACATACTTAAAATACTAGATAAAAATATCCGAACGAAAGGAAGGAAAATATACTTGGGATTCCTCACAAGAAAGAAAACTTCCCTTACAATGTTGAGAGTATCCATACATGAGCACTACGAGTGCTATAGGTTACCAGCAATTGTCCAGCAACGTATGTTTTCTCTGCTCTCTCGATCTTGACAATCTACAGATCCGACTTTTGCAGGGTATCCTACCTGCGAAAGTCGGAAATTACTTACTACGTATTTCAACAAAAAGATTACAAAAAATATTGAAAGTTGGCTTCTTGCCAACAGCAACCCTTAGTAAAGGTCCTTCATTCATAAGAAATGCCTACATAATTAAATAAAATGACCTGCTGTTCAAACGGTGCGCATGAAAACCGCACCTTGTGTGTTAACATTTATATATGAACTCTTTGGGATGTTTCGTCATGTTTTGTAATTCCAAATCTCTGGAAACTTCAACTCACACGATATCCATAACGCATTTGCGAACAAAGCATGCAAATAAATGTTATAAAACATTTAAAAGTTGCCGCAAGGTATCTTAGAACAACCATATAATTTGATACTACACTTCTCTTTTTGAATTTGGGTATGTCTTAAACAAATTTATGAAAATAAATCCCATATTACCTATTAAAAGACAATGAGGAAATAATTATATTGCAGTGAAATTCAGAACCCAAGCTCTACTTAGTAAGCACTATTTATTCTGAAACGAATCTAAAACTTCGTGTGAGAATGGCTAATATATACCCAAATACAATTCAGTTCAAACATAAAAATATCAAAGCAATAGAACGATATAAACCACCATTTACATACATGGAAGAAATTTAAACCAAAACAACAGATTGGAAAGTCAAAAAAATAAATAGATAAAAACTCTTTTTACAAAAAATTGATCAGCAGGGTAATAATCAGTGCGATGGTATATGAGCAAAAAGAGTAGATTCCGAGACAAACTAACTTCCACTCAAAATTCTCAATTTTCTTACTTTTTATATCTTTAAAACAATAACAAGGATAAGCCATTTCATCTTTAGCTATTTTTATTCTTCGAAATATTTCGTTTAATATTAATGCTGAAGAAACAACAAAAATATATGAGATAGCGAAGGCAAACATTTTATAAGTTCAGTTGAAACAAACATTTCAACTGAACTTATAAAATTATCTACTGCATTAATTCAGTCTTCTTAATACGGTACAACTGCATCAAAGATTTAAAAAGATTGAAACGCGGAAATATAGATATCTAAAAGATGAACAGAAAATAGGCCTGAACACAAGTAAAAGGACAATATAAAAATAAACAGAAAGACAATTAGGCTACTCAATTCAGAATCAAATTACAAACATGAATTTATTCGCAACGTCTGTTCGAATTCTGTTCGAATTTTCCTACCACCACCCTCAGAAAATTCTGTAGCATAATAATTACTTTAAAAAGAAGAGAGAAAAATATTGCAAGATATTCCTCTTTATTGCAAAACGCGCCACAATGTTCTGCAAAAAACTTAATAAGCATTATCGATAAAATGACACATTGTATTGCTGAGACCAAATCAGCCAAATTAAGATGCGGAAAAAGGGATTTCTGAGCAGAAGTTGATAGGCGTAACAGAGCTGAAAAGGTAGAGAAGCTTGTATGCAAAAAAAATATTGATGCATAATGACTAAACCGCAATTTTAAAAACAGTATTGGAAAGTGACAAAATAAACCAAACCAAATATTTGTTAACACATGAAATATATCACGCTTCATCATGTAAAAAATGAAAAAATTAGAAAAATCAAATAAATCTGAAAACAAAATATTAAAGTACACAAAACCCATAAATAATGTGGCAAGTTGCATTAAATATTAAAATACGAAAATACAAATCACAATTTTTGAAAAAACAACTGTAAATCTTATGCCTTAGTATCAAAAAAGCACGAATAAATATATTATTTAAACAACTACAAATACACACATAGCAAATGGAAATGTAAACGGTAAGCGAAAAAGACTTGTAAAGAAAAGAAAGTACTTAGAACACAGTTGTTTTCAGCATAGGATTTCCTAATAAAGCGCATCGAAGAAAAAATTATCTTGGTCTCTGCACATTAGCTATTGTCAAAATTATAGAATTTTCATGCAAAACTGCTGTTGAATCTATAGCAAATTTTAAACCTACCTGTATGATAACAAATAACAAGCTCTTCAAAAAAAAAAAAAAAAAAAAAAAAAAAGTTAGAGATGACCAACTACTGGCAATAGTGTATTTGGTATTGAAGGTGGTCTATTCTGTAATTCACTGAAAGCATTTTCCAGACACCGCCGTAAATCTGTATATGATACCACAAGCACATTCTCACCATCACGTGAAACCAACTGAATTTTTTCGTTGACACCAGCATCTAACTGTAAACAATTGGTTTTTAAAAGCTTACCGACTCATAATTAAACACAGTTAAAAGAATATCAAAAATTGAACGAACGACAAAAATGCGTGAGTCCTCAAACAGGATTAGAAAATCGAAAAGAAATAATGTTGAGTTAATAGACAATAGATTACAAAAATTGAAATCTTATCAAAAACCTACTCCCCCCAAATAACCCAAACAATACAGCTGACTGAAATCACAAACAGATCCGGAAGTAGTTGAAAACAAGAGAAAAACAACCACGCATTTTCTGATAATGACACTATACTATAAAAAGGATAGTAAATCGTTAGTTAGATCTCTGAACTACACAAGTATTCCCACTGTAATGCCTAATTAACCTGGGAACAACAACCTTATTCAAGGAAGTCACAATATGTGCCATATCAATCCACGGTTTACCAGTTTCTGTTATTTGATGAAACAAATAATCTCTGAATAGTTTCAATAAATACCGGTCACCCGTTTCGCTCCATGATACATCCATTTGAAACCTGAATCCAATTTCTTGAAAACAGGGGTTGCGAACTCCTACTTAATTTGACAATTTTTTAATATTTAGCAATATATAGCAGTTTTGAAACGTTTCAAGTAACAACCCATAAAAAATATATGGAAAATTTTCTATTGTTTGTTTTTAATCAGAACAAGTGGTTCAGAACAAAAAGTTCCAAATTGAGATTTAAGCAGTAATAAAGTGTTCCCTCAGAAAATTAGAGAAAATCCTTCACACAGCAAAAAAAATTTACTCCGCTCGCTCAGTAATAGTATTTAATTTGCATAGCAATCGAAACAAACGTCCATTTTCCAATTCTTTTGATAACTCATTTTCCAAAAGATCATTCTTCATTTGAGTTGTTTCAAGCTGTGCATAGAAACGGGCACCAATCATTGGCATTACTTCGTTGATAGAATGTGGGCGCTGAGTTGAAGCTTGTAACAAAAGTCTAGAAATATAATTGAAATAACTCAGACCTGATAGTCTGCTTATGACCACACTACGTTTACTTATGACTATACTACCGATTGAAAAATGGAGATCTCAGATGTCTACAAGTTTTTTTTTTTTTTAATTTTAAATTGCTGTAATTGTACAGAATGAAATAACAAGACAAGAAATGTCAATGCCCAATACAGCAGCATACGTGATTATATTCTTTAAGTCGGTAGTACATTGCTGACTGATAATGCTAATACTGTTGCTAATATTTTCACGACGTACGGCATGTAGCGAACCCATTGCCAATGCAATTAGCACACGACCAAGACCATTCAAATCATCTTGCTAAAAAACAATTCCCTCATTTAACCCACTTCAATCACTGTTTACTTGCATCACTCTAGAAAATTGATCAAAACAATCATCAATCGATAATGAATGTCCCTCCCACAATTATAGTAGTTGTTAGTAACTTTATCTGTAACAATAGTAATCGACAAACTAGTCTACCTGGTATAACTGAATGGTATGATCATTCCCAGGATTGATAACATCCAGAATACCGCAACTGCTTAACATTACTCTGGAAACAATGCAGTGAAGTTAACCAGTGGGCAAATTAGAAATTCAAAAACAGCTTTGTCTGCCAGTTACAAGTAATTTATAACTATCTAGAACGTTATGTTTTTCCTAGTTTTAATTAAATTCTATAACAAGAATGAATTCATAAAGATCTAACAGAATATGTTCCCATAAGATAAATTCCTTTAAATAATGCACTTTTATTATCAAACACGCTGTTCTCAATTTACGATGATACTTCCATTTTTACATGCTATGATGTACAACAATATATAGAAATATGCGGTATTAAATGTTAACCTTAGTTTTAAAATTATAGAAATCAAAAACTTATGAAGACACTTGCTTGGTTTTGTCAAAAACAATGATTTTTGATGGATCAACAGTTCGTGCTGCCATACCAGCGGAGTGTATAGCTCTAAGAGCTGATGATAGCTGCACAATATAAGACCACATTAAAGATTCTTGCACTATTGGACCAGTTCCAGGGAGATTTCCAACTGGTCCTAGTTTTGCAGACCCTTAAAAGACATAAAGTGTGTCAAAGTAATGAATAAGCTCTGTATGCTACCACTTTTCTAAAACTTAAATATTAATTTCATAAAGGTTTGGGGAAACTTAAGTCTTCTGAAATCGCTCAAATCCTCAAAAAAAAAAAAAAAAAAAAAAATAATAATAATGATAATAAAACTACATTTCACTATAAATAGTTTACAGTGTACTCCCCCAGTGCCCCAAATATCTTACAAATAATGTATACCATTGAGTCGATTATTCAGATGCCGATTTTTTAGCGTTTCCGAAAGCGGGTGATAATCATAAGCAAATAGCAGTGCTAAAACGTTACATCTAAATTTTTTCTAATACAGAGTTCTTTCCATTATTTATATAATAATAAACAAATTTTACAGAAATAATATTTTTCGTTGTTCCTTCCAAGATTATGGATAACTTTCAGTAATGTAGTGATAGACAGTGTAGGAACATTCTTAGGAAGAAAAAAGTTCTTAGGTTAGTTGTAATTAAATAATAGGTAAAAGTCAGGGCTAAATTATTTCTTATCTCTCGTATCAAGACGATATTTAAAAAAAAAAAAAAAAAACTTACAATGATCACCAAACTGACGAGTCTGTATAACATCTCT